TAGCCCCCCCCCCTCCAAGGTATGCCACAAAGCACAGTCCTGAGCCACCTGCATCCCTCGACTTCCCGCATGTCTCACCAGGTCGTCACTCCATCTAGTGGGGGTCAGCTCTACACTTCGCCTACCGGTACGAGGCTGCCACTCGAGAACCTTTTTCCCCATTGGTTGTCGGTTCTCCGAACTGTATGACCAGCCCATTGCCACTTCAGCTTACTAATCCGTTGGGCTACGTAGGTTACATGCATAGCCCTTTCCATAGCTCGCTGAACGACCTTGAGCTTCCTCATAATACAGGAAGTACGCACGTAATCGTATTATTACTACAAACGAAATTTTTCAGACATTATTAAGCAATGCTCTCTAATATCTAATGCACAGTATGGAGTCCAATCACAGAAATAGTAATAATAAGACAATAGAAGTCACATAGACGCGTGACCTTGTCGCCGCTATGATGTGTTGAAGAACATCATTCACGATTTTGTGATTTATTTGCGCGGGGAACGTGGTACGTGAATTTATGTTATTATAAATTTATAATGATGAACTGCAGTATAATCAGTTGTAAAAACTCATCAAGGACGTGTAATTCTATATAAATATGTATTCTATAATAAAGGCATAACATTTCATCGGTAAGTTGAATAATTACTAAATATCATTGTTTTAACTAATTTACATCTAGATGAATACTTTACTATGGTATTTACCTTGTAAACTTTCATTTATTACTTTTCGTATTGCACAATTACCATTGCTGCTTTTGTTCTACGTTGACAAACTCGCCAAGCAATATAATGTGAAACATTAGATATCATTGTGCATTGTGCTTATGTTTATAATACGGTAAGATGTGGTGACATCGGTTTTGAAAGTAATCGAGCGCTAATTAATTTCTATAGTCTTATTACTGCTATTTCTGTAAGTCCAATCTAATTTTCTCAAAATATTTATGTGCTTAAGCTGTGCTTATTCAGAAATGTGTTTCTGTAAACATTTCCTAAAATATATGTGGTTATTTTTAGATAATATTACAAAAAGTAATTTACAATTAGTACCAGTTCTAGTTTTAAGAGAAGCTCCGCGGAGATATGGGAATTATAATTCAACTTTAAATAAAAAGTACAAACTGATTTTAAGATATAACAACCAGAATCTCGTCTAAATATTTACATTAATATCTTCATCCCCTATTGTTCAACCCTTAGGAGCATTTTTTTTTCAATTTAAAGAATAACTGAAATAGGATAATTAGTGCAGCAGTTTCCGAAAAATTGGTTATACATAAAAAAATAAGAGTAAAATATAGAACCTTCTGGTTTATTAACTCAGTTAAAAATGTTGGCGAAGACTGTGGTCTCGCGGTGAAGAAGGTGTACTGTCGTGATAAAGACTTTTTATGCCCGAGACTATCAATAAATAACGTTTTGTAATAAGACCGTTAGACGTTAAATTAAATAAAAGTTATATTTTGCATTATTAAGTTTGGATTACTAACAATATTATATATTATTTATATAATATTCAATTATTCTTAATAAAAGAAATGAAATATTGTTCGTATTTGTGGAAAGTTAGTTTGGAAGCGTTTTAAGATAGTAATTCAATAATAAGCCACGAGGATATTTGTTTATTCCTCTATTTTAGATTGTTCTATCTATCAAAGGATATTTTAACTAAAAACATTTTCTATTAACTATGTGTGGGCAAACGCGCACGAATCAAACTAGCTTCCACGAGCAGACACGAAACCAATCGCAACTGATTCGGTATACTTTGTACATGATAGTTCCGTAGTATTAACTACTCTATTGTCATAAAGCAAGTGCCACACTAGTACGGTATAAGTCGCTGCTAGATACTAGAACGTGCTCCATGAAAAATTAAGTTAAAAAACTTGTAATTTGTAAACAGTAAGTACCGTAAAAGAAAAGAAAAAATTTAAAATCCATCGCCAATACGAGAAAATGTTTTTAATAACGCATTTCAGGCCCATTTTGAGTATTGGAATTATATATTTGTTAAATAGAGTCTATTATGAGATGGTTTATGACTGCGAATGTTCTTCCATAATAAGCAGTGTGTGATATTTTTCAAACACTACAAAGTTTTATTAAAGTCATATAACAGCAATAACGTAGTAGGACCCTTTTAAATACTACGCGATTCTCATACCGTCATAGTGTGACTTTGCACTTATTCTCACAGCGCGTGTGACTTAGAGATAACCTAAGAATAAGACATTGCGATGTCATTTGCCAAATTTTTATATACAAAAGAATTTTCCGACATTTTTGTCCCAGCCGTAATATTACGGGATAGAGCACCCGTAATGGAATAAAAAATCGGCAAATCGACCTCTCTAAAATTATATTTACAAGTTATTGGTTGGTATTTACTGCGAACAAAAATTTATATTTTCTATTTGTTGGGCATATAAGTGTGTTGAAGTGACGTTAATCAGGTGCAAAATAAGTAGAAGATGTTGAATATTATCTGAGGGTAGTTACAAACGTAACATTGACAGCAGCAAGCAGGACAGTGTTTAACTTGTCACCTAAAACTGCCAACTCCTTTCCCACCGAGAAGCCTCAAGGCAAGATGTGGCAGGCCAAGGACTGGACATTGGCAGAATTATTGTGAACCAACCACAATATCAAAGGCCATATTAAAAAAAAATATTATTTATGACAGTAGTCAATACTGTACATGCCCATAGTATGTTAACTTTTTTATTTTACAAGCTGACTTATAATCACTGTTACATGTGTAGTCAACCTCAGTCAAATCGAGTGTTACCTTTTTACACTATTCGCTTCTCTTTCAAACATTTATGTAATTATAATAATTAGTTTAAAACACGATTTATTTTACTTACATAAAATGAAAATCTAATCGATTGATGATAGAAAAAATAACATAATGTACTACAAAAAGGAGAAAGACATGAAATTTCATAGCGGAATGTAGGAAATCATCATTAATTACTGGTTATAAAAAAATAATTCCACTTCCACTATACCAATTTATATAATACAACCTCTTACTAAACTGTAAGGTAAAAGTATGTTTCTATTAACGAAATAATACTGTCACATTGCACTTCAGACAGAAAATTTTAATGTCCTTATTTACATAATATGTAATTGAAATTTCAGTTTTCAATCAATCGGTTTGGTTGGTCAATCTAATACAAAAAAAATATTTATACTACAGTTTTAATAATGAAATATATAATATGTAAATAATTTAAAAAAATATAACAATATTTATATAGTGTATGTGACACTGTGAAGGCGGTGTTATATATGACAGTTGCAATATTTTGTGTATGACTAAAAATTTGTATATTGAAATTTAACGTGTCTTGAACGAGAAAACAAGACCGTGAAGAACACATTTTTATTTATAAGTAGTTCAATTTTTTTAAACAAAAATCATCTATGATGATTCCAAAAATATAAACAATGAAAACAACCGTCTCACTTATTGCAGTGAGTATGAAAGAGACGCGTACAGTTTAAGAGCACACAACACAGATAACGAAAACAGTAGAAAAGTCCAGTCCTACTACGGTAGGCGGCTACAAAATATACACCGTCTGTTTATAAGCGCTAATCACAATTATTTAAAAACAAACTTAAAGAAAACACTTTTAACTATATTAACACTATATGTATATTTGAATAGAAGCTGGAGTCTAACGGGTGAAAAAATAAATAGGATCGAGCGCCCTTACGCCCCTCAATTTGTACAAAAACCGGTTGATATCTGAAAAGAAAAGAAAATATTTATTACCAATAGTGAGTTAGAAAGAGTTAGAGGCATATAATTCTTTAAGTTTCCTATATTTTAGTCATCCGAAATCCTGATAACTCTATTAGTTATACTGTGTATAGAAAAAGACCCATACCAACCAATACTTAAATGGGGAATCTCACCATCATCCATCACAGTCACACTACCGTGGGTAAATCTTTGTTTCAAAGAGCAGAAGGGATCTGTGACAGAAAGCATCTGGCCGCGCCGAGCTTAGCACATCAAACAAGAATTGCAAGATACAAACTTCGGGTCCCGCGCCTACATCTCAGTGACCGAGTGAAGCCGGCCACAGTCGAGCGTGTGCCTGCTCTACTACCGTATGTCAGAGGAGTCACAGACAAGATTGGTTAATCTTGGAAGTGTGCTTCCATTAAAATATACTATAAGCCGCAGAAGAAGATTAGCCAATTTTTACCATTCATCAAGAGTAATACGAGAGTGACACTGAAAGTTCTTAGAAAATCAAAAACTGAACAAACTAGCAAGCTTTTAGTTTTATTATATATTTTAAAGTAATGTCTATTTACATCAATATATCGCTGCATCCGATGAATCCATTGAGAAAAGCACTTTGCACACCCGTCCTCAGGAGTCTCTTCGACGGCATTTTATAACACAGCCACTACTTCCTCGGCGTCCTTAAAACGTTTTCCTCAAAGTTTTTCTTTTAATTTCGTAAATAAATAAAAATCGCAAGGTACGAGGTTGGGGCTATAGGGCGGGCGACCCAGTAATTCTACGTCTGAAGTCGCCAAGTAGTCGATTGTTTGTTTCGCGGTGTGTGAGGCGTTGTCGTGGTGAAGGAGGATCCTACTGCGAGGTCGTTTCCCCCAAACTTTTTCCAAGACAAGTGGTAAACAATTGTTAATGTAACTGTTTTTCGATCCCCTAAAACAATTGTTGCGTAAACCTGTCCCTCTGAAGAACGAGGCCACCATCTTTTTTCCCACGCTTTGCTACCACAGGCGGTGCCGGTTGTGTGTACGTGCAGCTGTGTGTACAACGAGTGCGGTGTGTGTGCACGCACCTGCTACCACAGGGGGTGCCGGTTGTGTGTACGTGCAGCTGTGTGTAGTGTGTACGATGTGTGTGCACGCACCTGCTACCACAGGCGGTGCAGGTTGTGTGTACACGTGCAGCTGTGTGTACAGTGTGTACGGTGTGTGTGCACGCACCTGCTACCACAGGCGGTGCAGGTGCAGGTTGCGGGAGAGCACGGACCGCACGTCGTGCGTGAAACGCAGCGCGTCGAGCACTGGCAGCAGGTTCAGCAGCGCCACGTCCAGTGGGTCCGAGAACCACGACTTTATCGGGATCGCGTTGTCTACAACACAACATTTATTAGTATTACAAAAAAAACTTGTTGAAATTATATGTTTTCCGTTCGTTGCTAGAAATAACAATTACTTGGCAAAATAGTTCGTTTTCTCTACTACAATAAATTTGCTCTGAAATTCTAGATAACTTATTTATTTATTTAGTAATAATCATTCTCCCGATGCATGTTTAGGCCAAAACTCTGACAGACATGATTTGGGAGCTCTGATTTGTAGATTATATTGAATATCAACCATCAAAAAATATCTCCCTAGTATCTTATAATTTAATAATGATAGAATACATTTTCGTTATATACCTTTAGCATGTAATATAAGGAAAAATAATCGAAATAATTCAATTAACGACCGAGAAAGCTTTGATATAAGCCCTAATATCTCCAAAGATATACATAATTTTGACGTAAAATTTATACCAAAACAATCATCAACATTTGTTTAAACTACACTATGAATTTTGCTTTTTAAATCGATACTATTATTTAACGTTCATTATTTAACTAAACGTAAAAAAAATATCTTATCTCTGCAGAAATAATAATGGAGAATAAAAATGTCTGCATGCTTGCCATATGGACTGGCTCAGATTATGCAAGTTAAAAAGTACTAAAAATCTACAAAGACGATAAATTTTGGATTTTGAATATGTTAGCCAAGTTACAAGCGTTTTATAAAAAGTGTGTACTGCCTGAAATTACTGACTCGAGATAAGCTCGGTCAATGCCGTTGCGGCAAATATTTTTATAATAAAAAATATAGCAATTGACTGTAAGTACCGATTAAAAAAATATTAGTTACAGTTGGTTATTTTATTTATTAAAACAGGTTGCAACCATACTATTTATTTATTTATACCACTATGCTGACATTAGTTGATATAATCGATCATTAGCCAACATCGGTTAACAATCAATTACTGCGAAACAATAAAAATATTTATGTGTACTTATTTCAACACTAAGGTTCATAAATAATGAAAAATATATCCAATAGATTATAATAAATTAATTAGATAACATAAAAATGCAACAACAAAATTTTTCCATCCACTGAACTCCATCCTAAGAAAACTTGTATAAGGGAAGATCAAGGTTGTTTAGTCACTATACTCTGAGTATCACAGTGCGAGCGAGTGAATAGATATTATGAAATAAAGTATCGCTCGCGTAGGTCGTCACCGACTCGAGAGCGTAAAATACCTAAATTTGCGTAACGCCGAAATGTAAGAGGGCTCTTAATTATTATATAAGTTTATTTATTTTAAGTAAGCGAAGAAGAATTAATTAATTAATCATAGTATCACAGTCACTTTGATTAAAAGTTAAAGTGATAGAGACAGCACGAGACTTAACGAAATTTTAAAATTGAACATTTTTTGAGTACTTGCAATGCTTAAATGTATGCGTTTGTCAAACGATATTTTCTTTCTTATTCATACATTCAATATCATTTCAAAATGAAGTCTCTCCGACCGAAAAATTATAATGAAGTTTTTTTGTCATTTTGAAATGGAATGGAATTTTAGAACAAGTCATCTTGTATTCAAATAAAAAGTAAATTGACTGCAGTGATCTATTACTAAACGGTATATAAAAGCGCTTATTCTGCATCTCTCTGTGTATTCATCATTCATTATAATTACAACCCTTCACCAGTATACTGCTGAATACAGACCAAGGAATGCCACAAAGCTCGGTCTTGAGCCACCTGCATCTATCGACTTCGTGTCGTCAGTCCATATAATGGAGCGAATGTAGGCGAAGTGTAGGTAGGGCAACCCCCTACACTTCGCCTACCGGTACGAGGCTGCCACTCGAGAACCTTTCTTCCCCATCAGTTGTCGGCTCTTTGAGCTATATGGCCGGCCCATTGCCACTTCAGCTTACTAATCCGACGGGGCTATGTCGGTCACACTAGTTCTACTATGGATATCCTCACTTCTAAGTTTATCACGCAGAGAAACCCCGAGCATAGCCCTCTCCATAGATCGCTGAGCAACTTTGAACATCCTCATACGGCCAGCAGTGAAGGACCACGTCTCAGATCCATAGGTCATCACTGGCAACACGCAATGGTTGTACAATCTAGTTTTGAGGTATGCCTGACGAAAAGATGTGTCGTAATTTCTCAAGCGCTGCTCAACAGAGTTGAATCCATCGATTGACCTCTCGGTCTAAGTTGAACTTACCCAGTCGGACTATATATCCCAGGTAAACATACTCGTCAACAATTTCGAACATAGTGCTCCCAAAAACTATCGGCATAGGTGTGACATGGATTGAAATAATACTAGTTTTTACGGAATTATATTATACGGAATTATATAGTGGCGATGGGCTCACCTGTATATATAATTACATACAGGTGAGCCCATCGCCACACCATCTACTTGCTTGTGAAACTCCTCCTTCCACAATAGGTAGCCAGATGTAAGGCAGTGTCTGAGTAATACTGCATATTCTACGGGCATGTTATTTTCTTCCAGCCTTCTAGTTACAATTGAGATGCAGTCTTCAACAGGTAAGCATGTAAACAATGACTGCACATCAAAACTGACCATAGTTTCATTGTCTGCCAGATGTAGGTCTTTAATCTCGCTGACAAAATGGTAGGAATCCTTTATGTGTGCTCTTGTATGTCCCCTGAGCGGTGAGAGTATTTTCGCTAAGTGTTGAGCCAATCTGTAAGTTGGTGAATCGATTTGGCTCACTATAGGACGTAATGGAGCATTGGGCTTGTGTATTTTTAGTAACCCATACAATTTTGGTGATTTGGCGCACGTAGGTATTATCCATTTTACGTCCAGATTTAATTTTTTCAATGTGTAGTGTTCGCGTAAATATAAGAAATCATTATGTAAACCAGTACAGACTGGTAATTGCAAATAAAATACGCCGATTAGAAGATCTAAAGACCAAGCGCGCAAGATATCTAACAACCTTAAATTTCTTGAAGAGATGCCGAGACCATAATCTCATTCCTACGTGTGTCAAAATATCCACCAAAAAGGACATTCGAGGAAGCGCTAAGATCTTAAATCAGGCGAGTAAAAAGTTGTTACGGACGGTTATCCAACAAAAACGCTCTGATCTATATGACATAAATAAATCCATAGACACATCATCCAGTGAATTAAAGAAAGTTTTAACGACTTTTGACTATAATTTTTGCATGGGAACATTAAATAACCGCGAAATTAGTAAATATAACGCATGCAAAAACAAACATATAGAAAAATATCAAAAATTAACGAACAAGTCAAATGTCAAACATATGAATCAATGCCAGAACCAAAAGCAACCATTGACAAACACAGATCATAGATTAATCGCGCTCTATAATTTGTCAAAACAAACACTGGATGATGCAACAATTAGGGTTTTATCCAAAGGCCTCAACTTTGCTATTACACCCAGCAAATTACCGTACGAAGAAATTATCTGTAGTGTCGAGGACTGTTTATTTAAAAACAATATGCGGAAAGAAGATTTGGAGGCGATACGTCAAGACATTTCGTCTATGTTACGTCGATGTTTAGTGCCTAAACCGAATCTTCCCAAAGACGCATTTATAGCGTTAAAGAACCTACGCAATAAACCAGAACTTACGATTCTCCGCGCAGATAAGGGAAACGCCACGGTGGATGGTGGATACATGTTATACGTGGTGTATGTCATACGTGGTGGATACGTCAGATTATAATTCTAAAATACAAGAACTTTTGTCGGGTGTAAGTACTTATAAAAAAGGTTAAAAACGACCCAACAAATAGCACACTAAAAACAACTAGTGACCTCATAAAGAAACACTCCGAAAAATTAAATCTGGACGTGGAATGAATTGGATTGTATTGAATGATGTAAAATGGATGATTGTATGATCGATTAATGGATAAGAAATCACCAAAATTGTATGGGTTACCAAAAATACACAAGCCCAATGCTCCATTACGTCCTATAGTGAGCCAAATCGATTCACCAACTTACAGATTGGCTCAACACTTAGCGAAAATACTCTCACCGCTCAGGGGACATACAAGAGCACACATAAAGGATTCCTACCATTTTGTCAGCGAGATTAAAGACCTACATCTGGCAGACAATGAAACTATGGTCAGTTTTGATATGCAGACATTGTTTACATGCTTACCTGTTGAAGACTGCATCTCAATTGTAACTAGAAGGCTGGAAGAAAATAACATGCCCGTAGAAATCGTATTACTCAGACACTGCCTTACATCTGGCTACCTATTGTGGAAGGAGGAGTTCTACAATCAAGTAGATGGTGTGGCGATGGGCTCACCTGTAACTCCCATTGTCGCCGACATATTCATGGAAGACTTTGAGGAGAAAGCCCTGCTTATTTCTCCCATAAATCCAAGATTCTACAAGCGGTACGTAGACGACACTTTCACAATTCTACCTTTAGATAAAGTAACTGCATTTTTAGACCATCTTAACTCTATAAATTCTAAAATTCAGTTCACAATGGAGTTAGAGGCAAACAATTCCTTAGCTTTTCTAGATGTGTTAGTAATTCGGAATCCTGATAACACCTTGAGCCATACTGTGTATAGAAAAAAGACCCATACAGATAGATATTTAAACGGTGATTCTCACCACCATCCTTTACAGTTGGCTACCGTGGGTAAATCTTTGTTTCAGAGAGCACGAGGGATCTGTGACAGTAAACACCTGGCTGCCGAGCTCCATCATGTCAAGCAAGTTTTGCATGACAACAAGCTTCGAGTCCCGCGCCTACGTCACAGTGAACGAGTGAAGCCGGCCACAGTCGAGCGTGTACCTGCTGTACTGCCATATGTTAGAGGAGTCACTGACAAGATTGGCTACATCTTGAAGGGTGCTTCCATCAAAACATACTTCAAGCCGCTGAAGAAGATTGGTCAGTTTTTACCATCAGTCAAGTGTAATGTCCCTCTGCAAGATGCAGGAGGGTACAAGCTTGATTGTGAATGTGGTCTCTCCTA